CTTAAAAACCCTCGTCCAGAAAAAACCCGGAGGCTTCAAGCTAAGAGAATGAAGTTGGAAAATCAATAAACTATGATGACCTGTTTCAAGAACACCGCCAGCGCTACAAGTACCTTACAGTTAAAAAGAACTGGAAGGAAATTTTTGGTTGGAAAGTGAGCCCGTTAACAATAGAGAGGAGTATTAGCACCTGTTCTGGATCTACCGTAAAAGGACATACAGGAAAAACTTCAATCTGTAACTCTTGCGGTAGAAACAGTTAATGGACAATCAAGGTAAAAGTTACTAGAATTGAAGAAAATAGGCACTATAGATGTTGAAGTAGAGTGCTCACGGCACACTGAATACCTGGTGTTTGTAGTTTGTAGTGACTTACTAAACTGCAGTGAAGAGCTAGCTTCTCAAGGGAGTCATTGCCTGTCGGAGGCTAACAGTGAGGCGGATGGGCAGATAATTCCTTCAGCGCCCATGTCCTGACGTTCAGCGTTGTATGATACCAGAGAAGATCAAAGCAGGGCATTCATCGTCTAACCGTACGAATGTTCATTCCTCAACCACTGCAGTGTTTCCAATGTTTACGATTGGACACCCAGCATCTAGATGTGCCGAGAATCAAAGTATGTCATTGTGGTAAGCCATTCATAGTGATGATCCATGCCATACATCCTACAAATGCATTAATTGCAATGGACAACAGTCATCGCGGTCAAGAGGCTGCCCAATATAAGAAGCAGGAGGCAGCAATACAACAAGTTAAAGCCAGACAGATCAGATATCCTGAAAGTCAAAAAAAAACTTGTGTCCCCGAAAATAAAGGAAATTTACATACGTGGGAGCAGTTACCAAAAGCACAATTTACCTTCTTTAGTAGGGAAGAAACTAATGCCTGCAAAACCGATGCATAGAAAAGTTTACAAATAACAAAATCAACACAGAAGACTTAGCCACAAACACTCAAAGAAGAAAATAGTAAATGAAAAGAATCCTCAAACCCCCACCAATGCAGGCAGAAAGAAATCCAGTACTTGCGCCCTGCAGCCATACCCAGGCACAGAAGTACGGACAACAGGCATCGAAGTCGATCGCCTCGTGGTCCTAAGCACACCAAGGGACAACTTCCTCCAAACCAAAAATGAAATCAATGGACATGATTAAGGGACACAACCACTGGCCTGAGAACAAAGTTCGATGCGTAAGTGCTGAAAATAATGATTACCAAATCCATCGATCTATACAAAATCCCGCGTTAGAAGAGAAAAGAAGAAAGGATGGCCAAAAGGAAAACCAAGAAAATAAGCAAAGACCTACACAGCCTACAGCAGAAGAACCCCATTTCCAACCATGGAAAATATAATTCAATGGAATATCACGCTGTATCTCGCATTACTGTTGAGCTGAAATGGCTACTGGCCAATCACACACCAATGTGTGTATGCTTACAAGAAACTCATTTTTTAAACCAGAAGACCGTTTCAATTGTTAGAGGCCTTTCGCAGTGACGTCGAACCTGATAGACGAGCTAGAGGTGGTTTTTGCCTATTGATCAGCAATACACATCCTGCTAGTCTCTCCGCCCCCATCTCAACACACCGCTGCAAGCCAATAGCTGTAACCCCTACCACAAGGCTTGAAGATGACGGTAGTGTTGCAGTATACTACCGATGCCTCATGGCGAAATGAAGATCTACAATGGACCTGAGGATCACTACAGCCTCCATTCTAATTCTATGCGATTCAATGCTCACAAGTACCAACATGGGGCTGTTCTAGGACAAGACTCCGGGTCGCAGAATCTGATGACCTGTTACTTAACAATGAATATGACTTTTAAAACACAGGAGCAAGCACTCAATTTAATGGCTAGAAATTGGCTCATTCTCAGCCATAGATATCTCAATATGTAGTCCAAATCTTGCAACTAGGCTGACGTGGAAACCACTGCAGATCTTCATCCAGAGTGATCACTTTCCTCTGTTGATATCATCAAACATGCAAAGAACACAGTACATTTACCAAAACGTTGGTGTACAAACCACGCAGGACTGGTCCAGCTTCCACCAGACATGTACCCACCAATAAATTGTCAGTGGAATCAGAGGGAAGCACGTTACCGATTTCACTAACGCTGTCATATCTATCTGCTGTAAAATTACATCCACATACTAGTGGCCGCTCATTAGGATTCCAGACCATGGTGGGATACGGAAGGACCAAAGAAGCAATAAGGGAGAAAGAAAAGCCCCAATAGATATAGACGGGCACCAACCCAAGGCTTAATTGCCTTTCAAAGGCGTCTCCGTGCGCTCGCTCGCCGAAAAATACTAACAGCAAAAACGATCAAGCTGGGAAAAGTACGTAACAACCATAACTCGGACGACCGAAAGTCACGAAATATGGCAGAAAATCCGGTCAATAGCGCCTTTTGGGAAAATTTTCAGGGTTCAATCACTGCATAGAACACGAAGGACAACTAATATTGCAACCCTGACGAAATAGCCAATGCAGTGCGACCCAAGATCCAGAGCAGTGACAACAAACATCTATCCTAAAGACTTTCTCGAGAAACGAAAGAAGAAGGAAGAGCTAACAAGGACTTGACTTTACAACCAATGCAGATAAGCCATATAACGCTCTTTTCACATGGAGAGAATTGCAAAGACGCCATAAATGCAGCAGGAACATCGCAGCAGGATCAGACAATAATCCCTTACGCGCATACCTACGTCGATTACCGAAGGAAATACTGTCCACTTTGCTAAAAATATACAATAACTTTGAACACAAAGTTAATTTACCCAAAGTCTGGAAAAGCATAATAATTCCACTTTTAAAGGCAGGCAAGGATCATTAAAAACTTGAAAATTATCGCCCGTATCGCTGACATGCTGTCTAGGAAAATTTGGAAAAACATAGGTCCTCAAGAGACCGGTAGCACATGCCTGAACCTAAGAAAGAACAACCACACACCTCCCTTAAACGCTACGACCTAGCTGCAGGAAGTAAACAGCCCAACCTACACTCTACAATCGAATCCAAGCCGAACAAACCTAGCAATCCACCGAAAACCGCAAGTCACAATGCCCATCATTCGGAGAAAGAAAAGCTATTACGTTCCACCGATTCTGTCTCCGAACCTGAAAAAAACGCTTTCGATATAAGAAGAACCAATTGCACATTAATAACAACTCATCAATCGGAACCGCGTACTATAACAGCCAAATCCAGAAGGAAATCTGCACAAAACTTCATATCCCAGCCTGTCTTAGTGTCCAGATTCTTTCCAAGTTCGACTTGGGGCAGTCCATCTTCAGAAAGCTAAAAGATGCTAGAGTAAGGGCTCTCCATTGAGTTGCAGGCTCTTTATCATAGTGATTTACGAGATGTTTGGACGGCATAGAAGCTCAATAGGAAAATGCATATACGTGGATGACATTTGCCTATATTTTTACTCAGCGCAAACCATTGGGGATGATCAAATTCAAAAGCAAAACGCCATCAATAATTAGTACTGAACGCAAAAAATGGTTTTTATTTACAGCAGCAAAGCCGAAATAAGACGTTCATTACATGTAGCACAGACAGGACAGCAACTGACAAAACAATATAGTTTTTGAAAGAGGCCAATCTTTTCTACTAAATTTAATTTAATATATAGTATATGATTAATTTTAACGTCAATCAGTAAAAAGGCTTAAGGCCTTAGATGCCAAGCCTTCAAACACTAACAAAAAGAAACAACAACAACAATAATAATTTTACACTGATATCTTAAACATAATTAACATCTAATTATTAATTTGTAGCTGCATGTACTGGTATGATTACCTCAGCAGGAAAGGCTGGTTGAAAATTGTTATTAACTTTGTACATTTCTTCTCTACAATACCAGCATTTTCTAAGATTAAGTGAAATCTAAACTCGTAAACCTTATTAAAATGCATCCAAATAAATAAATAAGTGAAAATAACATTTTTTTAATCATTAGAAAATTTATTAGTATTCATGAAAATTGTCTGCCATTGAATTCAAGGCATTCCCACAAAAAGTTTAAAGAAGAAAGTACACTCGGTTCAGTCAGGATTCAAACTTGAGTACCTAAGTTTCGGTTACCCACTACTCTGCGACTCTTTTATATAGTTTACCTGCTACAATGACATCTTAATATAGTGGTGGTTCTAACATAAAAGGTGCAAAAATTGTCATGCGTTAACTCAAATTGACATAAAATCTACTATTATTTTGAAAACCTGTAGATAAATTTAAATTAATATCCTAATGTTCAGAAATGTATTGCATTGAGAAAACTAATAGGACAACAGTGCGTAAGCAATATTGTAATACTACATGAACATGCAAAAGTATTTTCAAGCAGTAAAACTTTATTCTCACTCTCTCATATTAGATTAGCATGACATTCACATTATTCTGACATCACTAGACTCACAGTTAAACTCAAACCCTCCTAGAGCTTTAAAAAATGTTTAAAATTCTCACTTGCAACTTTCAAAAATTCAGATATTTTTGTTTTATATTATTTTAAGAACTAGTTTTAAAGACAGATTTCATTAATAAG